GGACGTCGACCAGCGAGCCGACGGGCAAGCCTCCCGCCTCTGGGCGGAGGTTGCGACGCGCCGCTACGACTTTGGGCGGCCGTGGCGCTCGTCCAAGCGGATGCGCCGCGTGACGCGCGACGGGCTGATCGGCTTCTACGACAAGTACATCGCCGCGGGCGGCGCGGGCCGCTGCCGGCTCTCGACGCACGTCTTCTCGCAGCGCAGCCCGCCAAAGGGGCCGCTCCGGGACGACCCATTGCCCGACGCGTTCTTCCCGCCGACCGCCGACGGGTTCGGAGTCGACTGGGCTGCGGACCGCGCGGTTGTCTAGTAGCAGCGCGCCGCGGCCACCGTTCCAATGTGCCGTTCCCCGAGCGGAGCTGATGCGACCTCCTCTACACGCAACGTCTGCTGGAAGATATTCATCTGTACTGGTAGAGGGTAGTTGCATGGAACAACCGCGAGCACGACTGCTTATCTCCCCGTGTCGCGGCGGGCTCACGGCTTCTACCGCCTGCTCATCCTCGTCCGACTCCTTGAACTTTTTTACAACTGAAGTCTTCTGGAGAGCATTTTTCCAAAAGGGTCATGGGTCCCGAGTTCGCCGTCGAAGGGACAGGGAAAACAGGGTCACAGGGACGTGTCCAAACCAATCGCCGCCACGATCCCCTTAGGGTACCCCTAGGGTTCTGAGGGCCGGATTTTTTTAAGACCTTTTAAGAAACGAGGAGGTTTGGGGGCTTAACTTGCCATTTAAGAGATTGCAGGCACGGGGGGTCCCTCTTTTAAGTCCGTTTAAGAAAATCGGCCTCAGCGGCACGCGTCGCTGGGTTCCGCGCCGGTTTCTCCAATACTGCCGTTATTAGGCACGAACCCGCCACTGAAGACACATCCGTAAGTCTGGTGCACTGGCGGGAGCCATACTCGCATAGGGGACGCGTGCCAGAGCTGACTGTAGCCAGCTTCCCGGCCTCCGGCGTCTACCGGGGAGCCTCCCGGACCATCGACCTCGGGAGCTCTCCCGCACCGTTTAAGCGTTTAAGACCGTTTAAGGAATCGGCGGCCCAGCAGCTCTTAAAACCGGCCTAGGCCGGTTTTAAGCCGTTTAAGCCGCAGGCGCCCCAGGGCCCACCCTTTTAAGCCTAGGGGTACCCTAAGACGATCCCCTCACCGATTCGAGGCGGCGTTGCTGGCTCTGTGCTGGCAATGCACAGGTTGCTGCTCTACGCTCTCGCTGCCATGAACGGCGGTCCCTTCTCGACCGACCCTGTGGTGCAAGAGGACTACATATCACCTCATCCCGATGCGCTGCGACGCGGCCTCATGGCCGTGCACTCAACCCGTCGTTCGAAGCACAGCGCTCAGCGCCAGCCCGTGGCGACCAGAGATGGACGCTTTTGTGCTATTACGCCATGTCCGCGACAAAATATCATTGCCCAAGGTGGCAGAGCAGTGGCCGTTTCCACCACCTGCAAAAAAGCCGCGTGCAGTTCAGCGTCGATGGCAAGATGTGCTCCGAGGCCTCGCCGGTATCGACGAGCTATCCTTCTGATGTGCGGAATGTGCGAGGATCAACAAATGGGCGAGACGCAGCTGCACAGCACCGAGGCAAGCCTGCAGCCGTGGGTCGAGGACGCTCTCGTGAAGCTGCACGCGCGAAAAAACGTGTCGATGAACTCAACTATACACTCCGTGGACGATCGAGGAGGACCGCCTCCTGTTGCACTCGTACCAGACGCGGCGCGAAGATCACTGAGATTCGCGTGAGTAGCCGATCCGCCGAAGCAATCAAGCTCCAGCTACGCCGACTTCAGAACGTCACGCCACTGGTGCTCGACGCGCACCACAAGAGCCGCTGCGACCCGGAGGCGCCATATCAGTACCTGCAGAACGACATCTGGACGCCGATCGACTCGACCCTCGCTCTACCGCCGTGCGCGCAGATCGACTGGATTCGCGGCGTCGCCAAGGCGCCT